AACTGACTGAGACACCAAGGTACCCCAATAGAGACTTATTTTTGTTACTAGAGATCATCTTGGAATGGACATTGAGTTGATGTACTAGTAGTGCAGAATATCTGCTTCCTTGTTAGAGTGTAATTCTATGAATAATATAACATGTCTGAGTAGAGAGGTTAATTCCACATTTCTTCAAAAGGAAAGAAATTAGCAAGGAAAAGCAGAAAGGCTTAAAAGGAGTAATGCACACTCTATTTCCTTCTCCCTTCCTTCTGAAGAGAGGTTCAGGTAGAAGTATCTAGATTTGGGAATCTTGTGCATCAAGATATGCATAAAGTGGTTGAGGTCATTGTGGGAGTGAGAAAAGAGGAGGATTTAAGATAGACTCTGTAATGGCATAGATCTGTAGCTCACAGGAAGGAAGGTCAGGAAAGAGATTGAGGACTCCGTGTAGGCTAGTGCATAGGACATTGAACCCTGAAGTTGGGAGGTCTGGGCTCTAGTCTCACTTTCTCCATTTGGGGTTTGTGTGCCTCTAGGCATATCCCTTCCATGCTGTACAGACTAGACTTCATCTCCAGCCAAGGCTCCTTGAATACTTGAGTTTCTCCATTTGGCATCCACTTGGAAACAATAACATGCAAATGGAGGTAGTGGAATGTTCCTGAGACAGGAATTTCAAGAAGGAACAATGTCAGATGTCACAGAAATAAAGGAAGATGAGATCTGAGAAAAAGGATGCCCAGGAGGCCAATTTGTCTAGAGAGGGACCAAGAAGTATTTGCAGTGTCAGACTTACAATGGAACAGCATGTAAGGAGAATCATTCCAGGTCCTCTCGCTGACTTTGCAAATAACAAAAATGTTAATAAAACTGCCTGATACAGTAAGAAAAATGCAATCATGTGCTTTCACCAGTGATCCATAAATGACTCAAAGATTTCTTGAATTCAAGGTTGAAGGGAATTTTGAGGTAGTCTGTTGCTAGGTGAGACAGCTAAAGCTCCTTGTTTCTCTTTAGAATTTTAATTGCAGTTCTCACTTGAAGTGTTTCATTTGTTTTTTGTAGACCAATTGTTCCATTATGGATGGAGGGGATGATGGTAATCTTGTTATCAAAAAAAGGTTTGTATCCGAGGCAGAACTAGATGAACGGCGCAAAAGGAGGCAAGAAGAATGGGAGAAAGTTCGAAAACCTGAAGATCCAGAAGGTATATGGGCTTGTAGTCTGGCATTCAACATAATGATCTCTAATCTTCCCAATAGCCCTGCGGAGTAGGTGCTATTGTCCTCACGTAGGGGGACTGAGGCTCAGAGGGATGCAGGAACCTATGTAAGGCCTCTGTGGCTGGGAGCAGAACCAGGGTGCTCACTGGCCACTCCACCTTCTGCCTTCCAGAAGATTCTGTTCCATCTGTACAGGTGGATGCAGGATCTGAGAGACTGAGAATGTGACTGCGTATAGGGTTGGGCTGGCCCCCCATCCAGTTAAACTGTCTCAGGCTGTGGGCCCTATTGACATTGGCAGTTGCCTTTGAGAACTGCTGGCCCCTCTCTGAGATCCAAAGGGAAGCCGTGGACTTTGTACTATTTTTGTGTTATCCTTGCCCTCAGATCATGCAGAGACTTGACTTTATCTTTAAAATCCTTTGTGATTCCAAAATAATGTAAAAAATTCTAAAGTATGTACCTTTTCTTTCCCCTCTCTTCTTCCCCCTCCCTCTTCCTTTCAGAATGTCCAGAGGAGGTTTATGACCCTCGGTCTCTATATGAAAGGCTACAGGAACAGAAAGACAGGAAGCAGCAGGAGTATGAGGAGCAGTTCAAATTCAGTAAGCTTCTTAAAACAGTCCGGCACACTCTGCAGGGCCTTTTCGATGCACTTTTGTGTCATGCGACACTTTTTCCAACTAGCCATGGAACTGTCTTGATTATCTAGTCTCTAGACGTTCATTTGGTGGAAAAGAGTCAACCTTTTGCCTTCTAGACCACATTGAACATTTTTCTTTAGAGCTCAAGATACCCATTTTAATTCTCTGTGCTGAGGTCTGGTAATGGGAGAAATGCCTTGGTTTTATGCCGTGTTACCTCTCTGAAAGCCGAGGTCTTTACACATTCTTCTAATCCTCTAAAGGATCTGCTGCTTATTGGGGGGGAAAAAAAAAGGAGAAGGAAAAATCTTATTTAACTGTTTTCCCTTTAGCTTGCTAAGTGTTCCTTGTTCAATTATTTCCTCAGAAAACATGGTAAGAGGCTTAGACGAAGATGAGACTAACTTCCTTGATGAGGTTTCTCGACAGCAGGAACTCCTGGAAAAGCAACGAAGAGAAGAAGAACTGAAAGAACTGAAAGAATACAGAATATCCTTTGTACTTTGAGAGAAATCTGTACGGTGTCCGTTTTCTCATCAACGTCTGTGGATTTGAGTTTCTTCACAAATCGAATGAAAATAAGGTTTTTCTTTTTTTTTTTTTAAAGATTTTATTTATTTATTTGAGAGAGAGAATGAGAGAGAGCACATGAG